AGCACGTGTCCTCACCAAAATCCCAAAAAGCAAAGATGTAGAAGATGGGGACAAGTTTTCCTGCAATGACGACTTCAAACACAAGCTGTTCAGGATCAAAATAAACCAGATCCAGATGAAAGAAACAGTATGTTTGCTCTCACCGTATTTTTCTAAATTATTCAAGGATCGGAAAATTATTTTTAACTCGCCTCTTTTACTCAGGTGGAGGAGCAAGCCAGCACCACAGAAAGAGTCTTTCAGGATCGTCAGTACCAGATCGATGCTGCCATTGTGCGGATCATGAAGATGAGGAAGACTCTGACCCATAATCTTTTGATGTCTGAAGTGTACAGTCAGCTGAAGTTCCCCGTCAAGGTGATAATCACAAATGATTTTCTGTTTTGTTTTTTTTCTTTTTACCACTCGGTCGTAAAAGCTGATGGGGAATGCCATCACCAGGTGCGGACACCAAAGTTTGTGAATGTGATAACTCGAGTATGAGTCAGCGTAGGGCCTTAAAATTGACACCATAAGTGTATCTACGAGCTTGACCTCAGGTCAAGTTTTCTGAAAATCTCGTGAATGCAATAACTTGAGAACGTAGGATTTTAAAATTGATACCATAGGTGTAACTACTACAAGTCTCAGATGAATTTGAATCTCAGTGACCTCGAACTGAAGGTCTAGTTTTCTGAAAATCTTGTAAATGCAATAACTTGAAAATAAGCCAATTTTAAGTTGATAGGTGTGTCCACTAGGAGGCTGAAATAGCACTGGTAGTTGCCAGTATTTTTAACATACAGAAGGACTACACTGGGTTTAATGCATGATCTAGTAGTAGAAATAATGAGAAGTGAATGTAGCTTTTGAAACCTGTGGGGCTTCCTACATGTGAATATTGTATTGGGTATTCACTACTTTCACTTACCATTTCAGTCCCTCTCCTTTTTCGTCTACTTTCAGTCCTCCAGTAAAGGAAGTTTCTTTCATTTGCTGGACAGACCCCCGCTCTTCCACAGTCGACAATTTCAGCTAAACTAGATCTAACCAAAAAAAAAACCCACTAGGACTTGGCCAGACAGCAGTGACGCTTCGATGTGACAGATTGCTGATTCGGTTTAAAAGTTTGCTTGGACATGATAGGGGGTGACTTCAGTGTTTACCACAAAGAGGAAGGAGTGGGGAAAAATAGTCAGAGATCAAGAAGCCAAAATGAGAAGCCGAGATAGTGGCTGCATTGAAAGTTTCACTTCACGGCAAAGAAGTTCTCTGTATTTTAACACGTTTGCTCTTCACGTACAGGATAAAAGATGCAGTCATGTGAAAAAGTTTTCAGGGGACTCTCTCCATTCCTATAAAGATGCACTTTTTCACATGATTGTCAGGTCACCCATTGGTTTTGAGTTTTGCATTTAAAAACTTTGGTGTTTTTTGTCCACTGTAGTGTTCATTTTATTCTTTTTTTTTTTTTTTTTCATAAGAACTATAAGCTGCAACCATATGCAGTACCAGTGTGCCGCACAGACACAAATAGTTCTACATGAGAATTTTTTTGTTTGTTTGTTTATCTACAAGGCTGTAAATCTGTTTTTAATGCTGAAAAGTTGGGCATTTTAAGATGTGACTCTATAGGAATTGGCTTGCTTTGGGTGCCAGCCTCAGGTGACCACTAGAAGAACTGTACAGTCTGGAATTTCCATGGTTGTTTTTTTTTGTTTTTGTTTTTTTAAAGAAGCAGCTACGCCACAAACAAGAGTGTCAAGAGACCAGTTGTCTCACATGTTTTTGATCCTGCTAAAACATGGGGTGGCTGTAGCTCAGGCGGCAGAGCAGGTCAGCCACTAATCAGAAGGTCGGTGGTTCGATCCCAGGCTGCCTCCTAGCTGCATGCCAAATATCCTTGGGCAAGATACTAACCCCATGTTTGCCTACTGGTGGTGGTCAGAGGGCCCGGTGGCGCCAGTGTCCGGCAGCCTCGCCTCTGTCAGTGCGCCCCCTACAATGTAGCTTGCCAGTGTGTGAATGGGTGAATGACTGAATGTAGCTTTGGGGTCCTTAGGGACTGAGTAAAGCGCTATAGATAATGGTCTCCATAGCTCTGTGTAGGAACAATGTTAGACGCTGCTGTTACGCTGTGTTGACCAAATTTAGAATATGACTCTTAGGGGATCGGGGTTTTAAACTTTGGCAGTGTTTAATATCAGCATCCTCCAGTGCAGGGGTCCCCAATCCCAGTCCACATGAGCCGGTGTCCCTGCAGGTTTTAGATCTCACCCTGGGTCGACACACCTGGATCACATGATCACATGAAATTACCAGGCCTCTGGAGAACTTCAAGACATGTTGAGAAGGTAATTTCTCCATTTAAATCAGCTGTGATGGATCAAGGACACATCTAAAACCTGCAGGGACACCGGCCCTCGTGGACTGGGATTGGGGACCCCTGCTCCAGTGTAACAGCGTGTATCAAATAGGGGGGAAACTAACAAAAAAAACTATAACCTTTATGCAGGTCTAGAGGAAAAGGAGAAGATGTTTTAATTTACTTTTTATTTTATGATAAATTTTGGGAAGACTAACATGAATCTGCCTTTTCACTTCTGTTTTTTTTCTATATCACACCTCAAAATATAGCTTGAAATGCTGGCATGTTTTTCATGTTTTAACTCGTGCCTCCTGTCTGTCCTCTCCTCTCAGCCTGCTGACTTGAAAAAGAGGATAGAGTCTCTTATTGACAGGGACTACATGGAGCGTGACAAGGAGAACTCCAACCAGTACAACTATGTGGCTTAGATGAAAGAAAGGTGGATGCAGGTGGTCCAGTCAGGATGAAAGCCGTTCTGAGTGCTCGGTCTCTTAAATCGTCTGCTCCAGTGGATGTTATCCATTATCATCTTCAACCCAGCGACCGACAACTGAATGGCTATAGCTCCACAGGGTTTTTCGTCAGGGGTCTTGTGATCCTGTGGACTGCATGCCTATTGAAAAGAGAATATTGTCCATATTTGTCAGTGCCTCTGAGAGAGCTGGGACAAAGAAGACACACAGATATTGTTCAGTTTGCTCTTTTTTTTTTTTTTTTAAATGGAGAGGAAAAGTATTTATTTTCAAACTTAGATTCTTCTTTGTCCTTGGTTTGCATCAATATGCTCTTTGTTATCAAGTCACTATTTTTTTTCTTCCTTTTTGTTCATCCAGTATCCCAGGCAAATGCTAACACACCTAACAATGCTCTAAATGTACCACATGTTTGAGAGAGAAAAAAGGATAAAAATTAAACTGATGCTTGTTTCTTTTGTCAGTGTCAAAAGTGGGACTAACATTTAAAGTAGGGAACTGGAAATTTTGGGAATTTCTGTGGCAAATGTGTGATCCTGCATCAGCAAAGTTTTACAGTTTCAAGGCCATGTAGCCCAGTGATATAGCGATGTTTGTAATCACACAAAATGTGCCAAAAATGGAGCACTTCTTGTTGTTATAGGCTATAATGAAGCTGCTAAGGCAGCCCACTTGTATAAGTAAACACATTTAAGTTTCTCTTTTGCTTTTTCTTTGAAGGTCATTTTTGTACATGCACCACAAAGCATTTTAAAAAATCTGACATGGCAGTCCACTTTGTGTTAGGTTTTTGATGACCCTTAGTAAAAGCACAATACGATGAGAGTCCACATTCAATGTCATTACTACACACTTTTTTTCTTAAGTCTCCCTATCAGGCTTACTGAAAAGTGGATGGAAAACGCCTCAACATATGAGGCAGACAATGATTGATCAGATATGCCGTTGTTTGTATGAGTCTGTTAGATTTCTTCAGATTAAAATAACTGTTTCAGTGGGTTATGTCATGTTCAATCACTGGTTTTCAAACACGTGTAATTATATTTAGGGTGACCAGATCCCAACTATTTCAGCGTATGACTATGTGAGGCTGGGTACTAAAGCTGGAAAGAGAGTCTAAGTTAAACAGATGTTATCGGTGTGATGCTGATTATGTGATGGACAGATGGAATATTTTATATTAAAGCAATTTACACCTTGTAAGCTTAAATATAAGCTAAAGTTTGTTTTTAATGGGATGGCTTCTATAATCCCATTTTCTATATTGTCTGCTCACGTTTTTGTTTTTTTTTGTTTTGCAATAATGGTTATCCATCAATCCACAGAAAATAACATCTCTTTTTTGAGCCATACAGTACTGCGCAAAGGTATTGAGGCATGGTAATAAATAGGTGCTGTGATTTATTGAGGCAGTAAACATACATGGAAATACAGTTAATAAGAGGATTTTTTTTTTTCCTTTTCTTAAGGACATGAGTTTCAGATTGTGACCATTGACTGTAGATAGTTTTAAGCCTCCAGGTTGTTTAGTCCTGCACTAGTCCAATTTGCTCAAATCTTTGTCAAAGGTCATTGCTCACCATGTCGAGATATGCCAACTTTTCAGCTAACAGGTCTTTGAGAATTGGAATGTCGTTTTTGGTTTAAAAATCCAATTTTATATTTTTTTATAGATCCAACTAAAGACACGAAAACAAATGATATGCATTTTTTGACAGGCTGCTAATAACAAGCTGCCTAAAGACAGTTTGAAATTGGTTCTTTTCCAAGTTGTCATGTTTATCCCTCGAGTTAGGTCCCTTTTTATGCTTGAACAATTAATAAGTCAGTGTTAAGTGGCTTAACAAAATGTCCAAATAAAAACTCTGAAAGATCTTCAGAAAGCCTGGAAAACTATTACTCAAGACCACTTCTGAAAACTTCCAAAATGTAAAGAAATGCAGGTTAGCTCAAAACGTTTGCACAGCAGCGTATTTCTCGTGAAAGTTCACTTTCGTTAACTGAGAAGCCGAGTCCGGCATAAAGGGAGGTATCTAGTCACCCTAATTATAATAGTATGAAATCATTGGTGAAGATTTTATGAGGCGCTATTAAACACTTAGGTTCGTGTGAGCTTTAAAACGCACACGGGCCAATAATTAGTCCATCAACGAGATTTAGGTGTGGGCCTGGCTCCACACCTCTTATAGGGCTGGCACGTCAGCGTCTGTCATATGACTGTCATTTCCTGGTATCGTCGGTGGTAGCTGCAGCCAAACACCACTGACTGAGCGTCTCCGTCGGTTGTTTTCTCTCCAGCGGCTGACCCTGCAAACTGCCCAGCCATGATGTCTCGCTGCCTTTTCTTTTTTGTGTTTGGAATCGGTAAGTGTCTTCAAAATAGCTTAACTTTAAAGAAGGGGGCTGGGGGGGAAAATCGCTCACTGTTTCTGAGAAGTGGCGTGATTAAACTTCTGGGACGCGCCGGGCCTGTCGCTTCAGGGCTAAATCTTACTGCTGTTCTGGAAAGGAAAATTGCAGAGTATAAACGTAGTTGAAGATGTGTTCAACTGCACTGACACAAACGTGTTTGCTTAGAGTGAGTATAAAGTACAGGCCTTAAGCGGTTCAGTCGTGATGGTTAGCCGTCGTAGCTTCATGGCTAATTGTTACATACGTCAACACTAAACTGAAACGCAGCCAAGCGGTCGCATGTAGCTTTCAGATTTACACATATATAGCTGCTTTATTACCAGGGGGAAAAAAACAAAAAACGGCAACAAAAAACTCAAAAATAAAAAGTAGCTATTTCCGCGTTAATTTTGCAGCTAATGTTTTGGACAACAATTGCTAGTGTCTGATGGCTTGGTGATTAGATAACACCAGGTTTAGAAGCGAAAGTTCCAGTTAATCATGAAGCCTAAACCCGTCGGAGTCCTATCCTCTGCTAAATAATACTGGCCTAAAACAGATCAAGGTTACAAGAGCAGAAATGAATAGAAAGTGCGACATTAAACGAGCCGTGGGTCCGATAGTTAGCATTAGCTTTTTGACAGTTTGCTGGAAATTGGCACGTGACCGTGAAGCTGAAACGATTTACCGTAGCGCTAAAGTGTAGCATAAAAAGCTAAGCAAATGCAGAGTAGAACTACAGATCTGGATTATTGAAGAGTCTTTGATTTTACAGACGCTTATTTGATTAAGTGACGATAACTTCTAATTACTGGGCTTAGCTGGATAGATCGCTGTTTGTCTAATAGTTTTTCTGGAAAGTTCTCATCTATTGCAGGCTGATACGAAAATATGCCACCTTATCGGGCCCTGTTGCAACTATGCTGTGTACCTTTTTACTCTGATAATAAAGGGGGTATTTCAGTGCCCTGAAATTTGTTAAGGTATAGCTGAGATTGTATATCTGCCTGTAAGAGATTTCATGAACTCTTGTGGACTCTATAGGTTTATCACATTAACTGCAGACCTGAGATGATGAGAGCATGCGGTTAAAACCACAGCTGGCGTATAACTGGACTTCGGCCTTTGTTTAATTGCACGCACATTTTTGTGGTCCGGAGTATCTTGAACATTTAAGTCTGTATTTGTAGTTGTGTGGGAGGAGTTTGGTTTTTCATTAATTCACCATAAAATGATTTCAAATGACTGTAAACCAGTAATGTGTTCACAAAGCAACTCTTAAGTTGTCAGTGTAGACAGCACACTGGTTCATCTCTTGAGTCGGGTGACTTGTTTGTCATGCTTGGATGATTCATAGGTCAGTGTCAGTTGGTTTCACAAAGGACAAGCATTTCTCTGAAAATGGTCAGGTTTAAGAACTGGATTAAACATGAATGATATGTCCAAAGAGAAACTTTGAAATACTTTTATAAAACTTGGAGAAATATTACTCAAGGCCACTATATTGTGTGTTTTTGAAAAGGCCAGGACTGGAAACTGAGACCTTTGGACACAATAATGCTGACACTCCTTTGCACTAGAGTCACATGATTTGGGGGGGGGGTAAAAATCTAGGTTGGAGTTAAATTTTTATGTGCTTCCGAAGGTTCCTGGCTACCCTGCAATAATAGCTGTTGGCATTTAAATATTAAAGAAAAATTGTTTGCTTTAACAAATACTAAACTGGAACATCTTTTAGAAAGGAAAACTCAGTTTAACTGATGGGTGACGCAGAACAAGTTTAAGCAAGTCTCAATTCAAATGTTTTGTTTTTTGTTTTTTAAGGGGGGGATCATGTCATGTGATAAGCTGCTGATAGGTTTTCAGCCCTCAATAATAGGATGTGTTAAACCTCAAGCTTGGTGGCCTAAGCTACTGTGACTAAAAATTGGCTGCTTCTAAGGGTGATAATTATTATAGTAATAATTATTATTATTATTTACGGTTTGCCATGATTAGGCTTGCGTTAGTAACATCTGTTGCTGTACATCTGTCATCATGAGTTTAACCTCATTCAGAGAAGGCTGTAATGATGGCAGGACCTACTATAGGTGTTCTCTCCAGCAGGATGACAAAATGAGGTTGGACAGGATGAACGACTTACTCAGAAAACGTCTTATCTGAGATCCCAGCCTTGATAAGAAAGTTATGTTTACATGACCTGCATAAAACAACATGGTGATTTTGTAGTCCATCTTATCAGTGTTGTAGTTCCACCACAGCAGACATACATGATCAACATTAATCATTAAATTATGAAATTGTTATAGTGTGTGCTCCATGGCGCTCTTACACATTTGCTTTACTTTTATTGCAATGTGCTTTGCTTTATATATTTTCTTGGTCATTTTCCATGAGCTACAGCTTTCTGCTTCCTGAACACATGACCAGTCACATGAAAGTGACAACACACTTGGTATTGGACTTTTTTTTTCTGTTTGTTTGTGTGTGGGGTTTTTTTTTTTTTTTTTAAATTAGGGTGGATTGGTGTGGCTTTTGTGAGACCCTGTGATTGAGTGATGTCATCTTCATAACTTTGCCCACTTGTTGGTCTGCAGGGACTGACTCCATCCCCTCATTGACCTTTTAAAGCATAAAATGTCACAATTAATGATTCTTATGAGTAAGAATTGTATGTACAGAAGAAAAAAATACTAAGTATGCTCCTTTTCTTTCCAGTGTTCCAGCTATCACATGGCATTGAGTTCAATGTCACAAAAGATGGAAAGTTATGCCTCTATGCCAATCTGGAGCTCACATTCTCGGTCACCTATGAAGATCTTGACAACCAGGTAGGTGTTTTTGTCTTAGCGATGTGAATCATGATTCTTAAGTCTACAGCAGTCCATATAAATACTGTGCTGACGTGTGATAGCAGCTTGGCTCTTATCAGACCACTTTAGCTGTGACAGTGTTTTTGTTCCAGTCATGTGAAGAGGAAATGAGGGGTTCCCTGAAAAAACACATTTTTTGCTATTCAGTATTTTAGTTGGTGTTTTCCTGGTGGATATCCTGCTCTTGCAGTGTTGTCTTGTGAGGTGTTGTTTAAGTAATCTCTTAAAGTTAATTTTTGTTCCTTTTAAACCCTACAATCTGATCTGTTTATCAAAATGCTACTTTTTAAACAGTTTTCATATCTTAGTGGGGACATCTAATTGACATGATGCTTTCCCTAGCTGCTTACCCTAACCATAAAAAGGATGCCTAATCTTAACCCTTAGGTTAAAGTTAGGTTTAGGACAATTGTAACCCTGACACTAAAACCCTATTGAGTTTCAAATGCCTTCAACCTTGTTGGGACAGTCATTTTGTCCCCATAAGTATAGTAACATTCCAATTTCCGGTCCCCACAAAGATAAGTAAACATGGTACGCACACTTTTTTTTTTAATTAAAAAGACAAGCTATAATAAAACGGATCCCCACAAATGTTTTTTTTTTATTTTTTTTTTTTTTTTAAATAAACTTGTACTTTTTCCTACATTTGTCAACATCAGTCCATTAAAATGCCTCTAAAGACTGTAATCAACATGAGGAGGGGAGAGACCCTGTTTGCAAATCAAGAAGCATTTACAAACTCTGTGCTGTTCGGGCTTGTCAGGGCAGGTGAAATTTAAATGAATTTCCACTGCTCTTGAAGCCTGCAAGATGAAGGATGGGTGCTAGGCATGTTGCTAGTCTTGATTTAACCAATGTTAAACTGCTATCACAAACTCCTGTCAAGTGTTAATAGACTAGGCTACTGTTGGCTAGTAGCTGCAAGTGTTAAATAAGCTTCATGTCTAAGCTCTATGAACACACGACAGAACTGGTTCCTTAATTTTGACTTGTGGTTTTCAGAATCTGCTTTTGTGCTGATCATTGGCATTGACTGTATGTTTTACTTGTATTTTGTGTTTTTTAAAAGGGGAAAAAATATGGACATGTTGGCATAATTTAAAATCTAAAGCTGATTGGAGGTGGTCGGTAATCACGGACTGAAAATTAGAAGCTTTCTTGTTTTTGCTCATAGATTGTATAGAAGATGGATGCAGCTTCTGAATCTAAAAAGTGAAGCCCTAGCAGAAATGCCTTGACACAGCTTTCTCTTTAATGACCAGCAGGGGGTGCCTCCTGGTTGAAGACATGTCCTTTGCTCAGTGACATCAAGAAATGCTTTCATGATAACTTCATGGTTTCTAACACTAATGTCATGTGATTGAAGTTTATTTTGGTAATTGGTCACAAAAGGCTAGTCAATGACCGAACCCTGGAGAATGACTATTCAGCCTAGCTTGTGACTGTGACAGCACTCAACTTGAGGATTCACAATAGCCATTCTGATTACCTGCATCCAGCTTTTATACTGTCTGAGCTTACCCCTTGCTTGATTAGCTGTGGATCCATTTTGTTATTAATTTGAAATGTATTCTGTTTTGCCCATCTTACAAGTTAAATGTTAAACTTGTCAAGTGTGTCAGATTAAGTTCCTATGATCATTTACACTGTCTTTCAGACTCAGACAGCTGTGTTTGCTTTAACTGATGACGCCAATTCAACTAAAAGTACATGTGATGCCAAGCACTCAATGCTGATACTTAATTTTGGAGAGGGTCACGCTTTCAGTATGAGCTTCTCCAAGATTGAAGAAGTTTACGAGGCGGACGTAGTCACCTTTACCTACAATCTTGGCGACCCTGTCCACTTCCCCAACTCTAAATCAAAAGGTAACGTCTACATCTCGATGTGTATTTATTTTTTAAAAAACTTGGCGATAGATCTTCTTGCTGACTTTTTGGACTTTTCTGGATTTGTTAGAACCTACTGTGGCAACAGGGTTTCCTGACATTAAAAACATAGGCATGGATACCTGCTACTCATGCAAAAGTGAGGACCTGATCGAAAGTGGTGACGTCAACATTACACTGTGGGATGTGCAAATGCAGGCTTTTATCAGTGATGGCAACAAGAGTTCTGAAAGTAAGTACGCGAGCTGTGACGCAGCTCATCCTGGCTGTAGCGTTTTGTACATTTCTGTTAACGTGTTCTTCTGTTTTCTCCTCGCACAGTAAGCTCCTGTCCTGCAGATCAACCCATCTCAAGTACAACTGCTGCCCCCAATACCACTACAACTGCTGCCCCTAATGCCACAACTACAACTATCCCTACCACCGCCCCTAATACAACCACACTTGCCCCTAATACAACCACACTTGCCCCTAATACAACCACACTTGCCCCTAATACAACCACACTTGCCCCTAATACAACCACACTTGCCCCTAACACAACCACACTTGCCCCCAACACAACAACTATGCCTGTCCCTACTACCACCCCAGTACCCACTCTCCCTGTACCCACTACTGGGAACTACAGCATCAGGACTGAAAATGGCACAGTCTGTCTGCTGGCCAACTTTGGCCTGCGCATTGGTATTAAGGGCGAGGTAGGTTTTCATATGTAAAACCCCCCCCCCTTGACAGATAATTTATCATTTGTTGATTTTGCTTCTGTTCTGTCTGGCTTAAAATTTACAGGAAATGAATTTGGATCCCAATATGGCCAATGTCTCTGGATCATGTGGTGTCAACAGCAGTGAGCTTACTTTGGCATCTAAAAAAATGACTATCAAGTTTACCTTTACCAATGTAAGTCCTCAGAGGTAAAGTCATTTATCCATGTGGTAAATAATGTTGCCAAACTTACCAAGGGTCACACTGCACATACTTAGCCATTTTACTGTCCTTAACATGACAACTCCACTTCCAGGAAAACAAAAAAGTAAAAGGTGGTTATGTAACCTTGTATTATGAGTATTTACTTCAGACAGGAGGTATGAGAACCTAAAGTTATACAACTCATTAATTAAAGAGGAAAAATGCTTTTAAAATGCTTTTATTTTAAATCTCCGTGTCAGTGACGGGGAATGCCGTTGACTTAAACGAAGTCTTCAGTTTCCCGTTTTGTTTCTAAACTTTTACAGGACACAAAGAAATTCCGCCTGCATGATCTGAACATCAGTGTCAGCACGAGCTCTGGTAACTAAACTATTCTCGTATAATCACATACACCAGGCAATGCACTGAGAAGAAGGCAAACTATGTGCTGTCTTTCTTCCTTGAAGGTAATTTTTCTGTGGAGAACTCCAGCCTCAATCTGTGGGAGGCATCCATCGGCAGCTCCTACATGTGTAACAAGGAGCAGACTTTCAACATCACCGACGCACTCTCCATCCACACCTTCAGCCTGCATGTGCAGCCCTTCGGAGTGAACAAAGGTGTTTTCAGTACAGGTAGGTTATTTTTGAAATCTCCTAGTGTACAGACAGTGGCTCTGATCATGATCAGAATAAGGCAAGATTTTTTTTTTTTAATGGATTTATCAGTGCTGGTTAACAGGTTATTATTTAGGGAAGACATTAAAAAGAAATTCTATTTGGTGTTGAACTGTTCAGTAATCATCCTCTCCCAAACCAGGCTCACACAACTGTGCATAGTTGTGGATCTGTGACATGCTAGTTTTACCTGTTAGAGTTTGGACCCAGACCTCAATTTCATAAGATTGGTGACTTTAAAACAAAAGTTGTCTTGCATAATTTAAAAAAAGGGGCAGCCTCTGTAAGGTTCTCTTCATAGTGCTGACAAATCTCCCGTGCAGTGCTTTTCTTTTGGTGCATTGCACTTTTGTTGTTAAAATGTTTGAGGTAATGTAATTGCTGGAAGACTTATCATATCCAATCTAAGAGAAACACAGCACCTTTAGACACAGTTGTGTTATCCTGTTAATTTATCACTCATTGTTGTACATGTTTGCTGCTGATTAGCCATTGCTGCTCTCTTCATTGTAACAGAATGACTTATATTTTATAGTTGATGGTTAATGTGTGCACTGGCTAGGTTAACATCTGTGTGACTGCATTGAAATTCCAGATGGAGGAGGTAAAGCTCTGTGCTGTTGCAAATCAATATCGAATGGTAAATACTATCAATATCGGTTCTTTTTGAGAACTACAGGCATGCTAGCACTTTAAATATCAGGTTGCCCCAGAGTTTTATACATGCAAGCAGTTTACTGACATCACTGAAGGAAGCTGTGCTTTTTATTGCCTTTGTAGTCTTAAATTAAAGCACTAAACATCATGAAAATGAGGTCTGGTTCATCCACCTAATTACTTCATAAACATCTGCAATAACATCTGTCATTAAGTCTTGAGTTGAAAGAGATGAGATTTTGGTGTCGTGTGCTCGAAAAACAAACTACAGATAATCTGACCTGTTGTCCTGCTGCGTCACATGTCTGTCTCACAATGTTTGTTAAATCACAAACGCACTGTTCTACCTGCTGACTGACTCTCTCTTTATCTGCAGCCCATGAATGTTCAGTGGACGACCCAAACATCTTAGTCCCAATCATTGTTGGCGCTGCTCTGGCTGGCTTAATTCTCATTGTAGTGATTGCTTACGTGATTGGTCGAAGAAAGACTTACGTTGGATATCAGACTCTTTAAATTCATATTGCAGTCGATCTTGTGATGTTATGGGGGTTCCCAAGCCTGGTCCTTGGCCTTCATGGTCTCACATTCAGGAGTTGGTCTAAAACTAAATCTACAGTTTTGTGAAATGGCATCAGTGTGGAGGGGACTCAAAATTTACTGTCTGATCATTGAGGTGTAAAGTTTTGGTTTTCATAAAGATGCAGGATTTTCTCTCAAGGACCAGACTTGTTTACCCCCCCAAGTGTTTGTGGTGTCTTTGTTTTCCTCATGTTTTTGTTTTCACCTGAATGTCTTTTCTGTTTTTGTTTTTTTGTTTTTTATTGGTTAATGGGCAAGTGCAAGATCTATCAAGCATTTGTTCAAATTGGATATCTGGTCATGCAAAGTCTACCTTTTCATAAACGAAGCCCCCTGAACATCTTCCACATTTCTAGCACAAGATGTGACCATGTAATTGGTTTCTGTAGGATCCTGCACTCGCTCAGCAGACATTCCCCTTTTTGTTTTTGTCTTTAAAACATTTGTTTTCTTGTTTAACCCCCATTGAGAATTTGTGGAAATCAATTGAAAACCTCAATGTCACAGCAGCTTTTTCTTTTTTTTTTCTCCCCTCCTCCCTCCCTGGAAGTTCATTAACACAGATGAATGTCTGCTCCTTTTAAAAGGCTGTAGATGAATATGCCTTAGTCCATGTTTGCCCCTGTAGAGCAGGAGAAACATAAGATATTTGTCCTGGTTATGGCATTGAACATATAAAAGCACACATGGCGCTAATTACTTTAACAATGGCTCACCAACAGATTATTGTGACGACCCCCAGAGTGACAAACCTGTAATGAAGCCATCATTAGTCATTAAATTTGCACATGCTCTGTTCAAACCGGAAGTTGTGTGGGGCAGTTTTCTCTCTTCCTCACTCAGAAGACATTTTGGCATTATGTTTAGAAAAGGGATCATACTATTGTGTAGATATTCACTTTCAGCACAGATGATTCTGAAATGGGGATATTTGCATGTAAATGCACTTAAACACTCTTTATATTTTTCTTACGTTGACTCTGCTGTCACATGGTCTCACCTGTGTAAAATTCTGGGCTTTGGCCTGAGCTCTACAGGTGGCTGCTGCTGGATCAGTGGGTGTTAAAGCCCCTGAAAACTTTGGGTTCAGAGCTCTGCATCTTTAGATATGTCACGAAACTGAGTAGGAATGACGACAAATGGTGCAGGAATGGTTTGGCGTGTTGCACAATTCTCGTGCATCTCTCTAGCTCACAACTTGACACGTTCATATCATGTTTGGTTAATCTGTGTGCTACAACTCTTAAAGTCAGTCCAGTTTTCCAAATGCCAAACTGTTTGTTAGGTTTCAGCTTACCTGTCTCTTTAAGACCTCAGGCTGTAGTTTAATCCGATTATTCTAATAAATGTGCAAACAACCACACAACTGCCAGGATAACTTTAATTGGTGTGCTGAAATTAGTGATAACTTGACATTAAATGGATTTTTAAAGAGGCTGAAAGTTTTCAGGACCTTTCGAATCAGGGAGTTGGATCAGAGTAGCAGTCGGGTATTGCAGGCCACAGAATGTGTTCTTTGTAATGACAGGCAGGCTGTGTGACACGACAGTAGCTGTATGTTAATTCAAGCAGAGTACTGTTTATTGTTCATTTGGTCGCAGCCACAAATCATTACTTCCCAAGATGCTTGTGAAATTCTGCTTTTTCCAGGTCACTGTATATGCGTATAGTTAATGGCACTTAAGAGCTTTGACTTTTGCTTGTGATTGTTGCAGTTTGTATTTCAGCTTTGTACAAGTTGCCTTGATGATGAAGATGATGGTTTTGCAGCATTAAGAGTTTGAATTAGACACTTGTCAAATCATCTAACAAGCTTTGCTCAATAACTTTGTCCTGTGCATTCAGTAACTCACTGCTTACTCGCTGCGTGATGTTTGGCTGCTTAATTTCCCTCCACTCGTGGAGGAGACGTGCACACACATAAAGGGAATCTGTGCTGCAAGACAATCTCAGTTGTTGTTGTGTGTTATGTGGATGCAACTGATTTCCTCTGCATTCTCTCATGCTGTTAGCTATAATAAATTGGATTTCAAATTGTGTCAACTGAGCTTTTTAGTGTTTTCTACAGAAATAAAAGAATGTGCTGTTGAACCACTTGAGTAAATGTTTATGCTTTTAATACCTGGGAGATTTACTTGTCAGACCACTTCTATCTTTCGGCTGTCCTTTCAGTAACCATATGTTATGTTTATGTCCTATGTTAAGCCTGTGAGACATTCACCTCTCTGCTCTCTTCACTCCTGTTTAGCTGAGGAATGCCTGGCTGATGGGGAGAGCTTCCTTGTTCCCATAGCTGTCGGAGTTGCCCTGCTTGTTCTCATTCTTATTGTTCTGCTGGCCTACTTCATCGGAAGGAGGAGAAGCATGGCCACTGGCTATCAGTCTTTCTAATTTCTCATTTAGAGCTTTCAGCTATACAAAGGATAGTTGCTGCCTTTGACTAATTGTGGGGAAAAACTATCATTGTGTTTATGTAGTGTTGATAGGTGTTCAGATTCTCTTCTTGCTGAGAGCCAAATTGACGCTGTTCTGTCTGTAAATTTGAAGCTACAGTTTAGCCTCGCGTAAAGACTGGAAACGCTGAGACTGCATCTTTAGATTTAACTGAAGTCTGTGCCAGCAGCTCAAAAGATCACTTAAGCTGGTTTTCTACACGATTCCTACCCTGAACTCGGCCGCACTTCGGCTGATGCAGAGACTGCCAGCTCCTTAGAATAAAGGCTGTGATGTTGATCTAATGTAACCATGAGTGCCATGTAAACCAGGCAGTACAGTAGTGCCACCATTTCTTGCAGAAAATGTTTTTTTAAATTAAATGTTTAAGATGCACAAATTAAGCAGAATGAATAAATCTGAACTAATTTCTTGGCTGGCGGTGGTTAGATTCAGAAATCTATTATTATTATTATTATTATATATATTTTTTTTTTTCCCCTCATGGCAACAAACAACTTGTACATATTAAAATCCACAGGTTGTATTAACGGTCTTTTCAGATTAACCTGTTAATGAGCAGACTTTAAAGATGCTGACATGACCAGTTTCTAGTGTTTATGCTAAGCTGTGCTGACCAGCTTTGTATAAGAGCGGCATCAATTGGATTTGGCAAAAACGCCTTTTTGTGTATCTTCCAAACCTCCATCACTTACTTTAATAACTATTACACTGACTCAAATCCTTGTGTTGACTTATTTATCCCCACAACCACCAAAATCAACACTACTGTAATGTTGCTGATTGCTGTTTCCTCTTCTCACTGCTTCCTGCTGCATTTCTAACCCAAACTTCCTCTGAGTGTTTTTCCTCCTAAAGCACTAACCTGTCCTTTCTGTGTCTCTCTTTCTGTCAGCTGAAGAGTGCTTCCTGGATTCTGATTTGAGCTTTTTGGTGCCCATCGCAGTTGGCGTGGCACTCAGCTTCCTAATCATCCTTGTGCTTATCTCTTACCTGATTGGTCGGAGGAAGAGTCGCACTGGCTACCAGTCCGTATAATTCAACCCCGCTGCGTCTTCTGCCCCTTACAGCTCTTTAAAAAAAAAAAACACCTTCCCAGCACTCTCCTGCCCACATTTATGCTCTCTTCAGTTTCCCGTGAGACAACGTCTTAAAAAAATAAAATAACCTTTCAGCTTATTTCGCAAACCCCCTTTCAAATTTGTCCCCTCCGTTTTGCTTTATTGCCAGTGACTGAATAGAGTACCAAAACATTTATGATCGATATTGCATCGTTTGATTATAGATTGCATGTTTTAAAAGTTAAATTTATGGCTGCGATTAGCCTTCCACTTCCTCCTCCCTTCCCTCAGCCACCCCAGAGAGGCTTTTTGCTCTCGGTTTCTGTGCTGTATAATAGTATATGTGTAAATTACTCTTGTATAGAATGACTGACACTGATTTTTGATGACATGAATGTACAAGCAAGCTAATAGAGCCACTGTCATTAATTTCCCAGACATTCATATTTTTCCACTGAGTCTCTAATTGTATTACGCTCCATGTAACATGAACCTCTTTTTGATGCACACACTTGGTCACTTGTAGCTCAATTAAAGGGACGATAACAGGACACTTAACCAGCATTGGGACCACCTTTGTTTAGTAGTTTTGTTTTTTCTGGTTTAATGTTGTTTCTCACTCACGGTAGGAGATTTATATTTTCCTGAAATGAACATTTGTTTACACATGAGTACTTGGTGAGTTAATCATGGTGGTGTCCCCTCGTAACCCTGTGATATTTGAAAAAGCTCAAACGCAGTAGACTCAGGCTTACACCGATCACCCGGATCAAACCGCATACTACCCCGTCCATGTCATAGTACACTAACGACAGGTGAAGTTCAGGTGTGAAGACGACGTTTCCTCGAGTCGCACCGTTTCGTTCATGTGATTCTGAGCGTCCGGTCACTCCCCGACAGTTTCGTGCCTTTCTGTTGTGCACCTCTCGAGTTGCTTGCTTGAAGCTTGTCTCCATCTGATGAAGAATGTGATGTGATGAGCTTGTTTGACACAAGTGGGGAACAAATTAAATAAAGTTTGGTTCTTGTTTTGTATCATTGTCATTTATTTTTTTCTTAAACTGTATCTACTTTGCTTTACTTGTCAAGGTGCAGACTTAGCTAGAAAAACTCATCTCCTGACTGCTGTCCTATTGATGCTTAAAGCAGGGTCCCTTTAAAGTCTTTGGTGATAACCTGCTTTAAAAAAATCTTCAGTGATAATGTTGTTCTACTTTATGCTCTGATGGTTTTAACATTTTATCAGCTGACTTTGCAAACCCTCTGGATGGATTGGTAGTCCACATTTTATGATAATCAAACCATTTAGTTCAAAACTTTTAAAAGATGGATGTGAAACCAGATCATGTTGTATTTGTTAGCCTGACAGCATCCTCAGAATACTTCAGGTGAAGCACTCTACCTAGGTTAATATTAAATTAGAGGAGCATTTCATAAACATCAGGCCTCTAAATGTTTGGGGAGTTGGGGGTTTTTTTTCCATCGTAATCATGCAAAACTAAATGTTTCAGAAAATGTTCACACAACGTTGCCAAACATTACCACCTCCTCCTGTCAGTTACTCCCTTTAGGGATCGCCACCACGGATCACCTGAGCATCTTCCACCTCTGTCACACCAACCCTCTGCATGTCCTCCTCCACTACATCCATGAATCTTCTCTGTGGTCGTTCGTTTCCTCCTAGCTGGTAGCTCCATCTTTAACCCCCTTTATCCAATATATCTACTGTTCCTCCTCTGCACACATCCAAACCATCTCAGCTTTGTTCTCTAAATTTGTCTCAGAGTCACTCACCCTGCGCTTTCCTTCATCTTCATCTTGGCCTCCTGTCATTTTGGCCGTACCGCCATCACCAAACCATGCATCAGAGCTGGTCTCGCTACTCTTCTGTCATGAATCAGCCCTGATATTCTTCACTTGCACTCTATTCACCTCTCTCATGCACTGCCCATTGCTTTGGATGGTTTACCTCAAGTATTTCAAATACTTCACTACCTCTACTCTTTGCAGCTTCACTGTTACACCTGTCTCCCTCTTATTCATACACATGTATTCTGTCTTGCTTCCACTGACCTTCATTCCTCCATCTCTCCAAGCTCTTTCACCTGCTGCCTTCTCTCCCTACAGACCACAATGTCATCTGCAAACATAGTCCACAGAGACTCATGCCTGACCTCATCAGTCAACCTGTCTACCACCATAGCTTCATGGTCAGGATTCATTTAACCTCGGACACACTGAACACCTAATGGGTCTCCACCCAACCTGTGCTTAAGGTCACATTTGTCAGTGGGTTGTAATTTTGCTTAGTTTAGTTTCTTGTCAACCAGTGACAAGAAAACGTGTTACTCTACTTTTAGTACTTAAGAAATTAAAATAACCTGTGAACCTGATGAGTTGCTACTCTAATACTCACCTCTAATGCAGGGATATCAAAGTCATTTTATACCGTGGGCCACATACGACCCACTTTCATTTTAAGTGGGCCAGACCAGCAAAACACTCCTTTCTGTCAGGTTAAGATGTTTACCTTAATATGTAATCCCTGAGATATCTTAACACACGAAAAAGAAATGCAAATCATCTCTGCTGCTAAGAAATAAATGTGTGAAATTGCTCATTCACCGGACTGTCCTGTCATAAAATAGAACGTTTTGGTTTTGGTTTTTTTTGTTAACAGACAGAAAAATGTTTATTTTTTCAGAAAAACTGGAAATTTTCTTTCCTTTAATTGATCATCTTTTAGTTAATTACTTTGGTGTAGTAAGGGTGGAGGCCTTTATCATTTAGAAATGTTATAAAATTTAAAATGTTTTATAATGCTATAGAAAGCCATCTAGTGGGCTTGATTGGCATTCTTGCTGGGCCATTTCTGGCCCCTGGGCCTTATGTTTGACACCACTGCTCTAACGCAATCTGTTAATTTTCATTTTCATTTCATAAGGTTGTTTGGAGGATGTTTTCCCACCTTAATATCATTGTGGGAATGTTTCATAAAAGATTAGAGTATAATCTGGTACTCCAAGCCATGCTCAACATGCTGCAGGGAGAATGTCTTAGTTTAACTTTTAACGTTTCAGGAACATTATATAAAGAAAAAAAATCTACCCTCTCTGTGTTCTTTGAATAATTAATTAAAACATGTGCTCGATAACATCATTAGAACTTGTAGGTGACTATTGCCAGTGTCGTAGGAACTTTCCCTACAAGCTCGAGAGTCTTGCGACTAAACTGCATTCAAAGGTTAACGGGCGTAAACATTTACACTGCTGAACGATCAAATGGCCTAAACTGTGCATTTGACTTTGATTGGCTACCTGCTTTTTATGACCTGTAACAAGCACGCACAGCCGTGACTCTCATGCCAGCTACTGACATGAAAACAAGTTGACCCTGGAGTTGCACAATGCTGAACTGATATGGAGACGAGTATCAATGCTGACTTTGTATAAATGGGTTTCTGACAGTTTATCTGAACTTGAAGCAAAAATGTAGACAAAGCGTTTGAGTGGTACCCCCTCTTTTTGTCAACAACACAGAGACGAAGAGCTGCTGCACTGGGGCATGAAAAGCTAAGAGCGAAGTATAAAATGAAAACACGATCCTCCCTTTGGTAGAGCCCCCTCGTGTTAATCTCTTATTACTCTTCAGTTCCTGGATGCCTGCAGTTGTATTACCCTTATCCATTCCAGGGCTTCTTTAGCCAATGTTTCAACCTGCTTCCATGTCCTGTGCTTGGGTCCTCATTATACCTCCACATTACACATTTTACTAGAATTAAATTTTTGTGGTTAACGATTCAAAAAGTCTGAGAACCAATTCCTTACACTTACCCTCCAGTGGATGGTAAGCGTGTTGATTGGCCTCTTTGTTCGACACCAGCATAAAACACAGCTGTTGAGATGCCAATAAAGTTGGTACTGGAAATTTGAATGTACGTAATCAGTCTCACTCTAGAATGATGGATTTAAAGTTGTTTAGAAACGCTTCCCAAACTGATGGGCAGCAATAATTACTTCTCTAAGATCACTGCTGCTGTCTTTCTTGCTTGGTTTGTGGTTAATCAAGTGCATTTTGCATTTGAGCAGCAGCATCTTACTTCTTAAGGAAGCATTAAGTGTTTACTTTATAACCTTGTTTTATAGCAGCTGCCTCTGTATAATACGACATTCTTTAAAAATATGAGACTTCTGCAGTAAATCAATTTAGATGTTGTAGCAACATGTCAGAGTCTGTGCAGGCTGTTAGTGATGTGGAAGAAAACTTGCAGTACATACCAGAACACTGTATTTATTGTAAGAGCTATAATAGGAATAAATACAACACTGATACCAAGTTTAGTAGCACAGTTCAGGCATGATTAATACTATCACAAAATAGTTATAGCATAATTAAAACGGTGCAGACCTTTGACAAACTATTTCACAGCACAGTGCGTCTCTTTATTGATCAGTCATGTATAGTATTTCATTTTCCAAAGCGAATATTTTTTACAAAAGAAGAAGTGATACTTTATCATAAATGTATAATACTGCTCTATTCAACAAAAATATAGTAATCATGTATTTGCATTTATTATGTCTTTTTTTTTTACTGTGTAAGTACAGTACAAGTCCTGCTTTCAGTGTTTGCATGATAGTTCTTTGAATTCTTACAATATACATGTTTGAAAAATATAATGCAAAACAAATTAGTACACTTGGTCGCACAAAAATGTGCACAAAAACGTACGATCTAACCTGAAAGAACTCTAGTTCCCTATTAATGTTTAATTCATAATTGGATTTGCATAGCCAGAAACTCTAACTAATGGGCAGAGTGTAATTTAGTGCGGTTAATCTCACTAATCATTACAAAATATCAGGAATCGAACAGGAATAACTCGCTCTAGGCACTCGTTCCTGTGCTCAGCACTGTTTGTTGTGGGTGCAGGTGCCAGTAGCACACTCGTGGTACAAAGAAACAACAAAAAACACGAGTAAATACCTACTTCTTGAGGATTTTGTTTCACAGCAGAAGATATTTAAGTGAAAGACGAGGACAGGGGCAAATTACATATCTCATGGAAAATAACGGTTCAGTATAAATCTTGTCTCGTGAATGTTTTCCTGCCTCGTCTTGTGAGCGTCCTGCGACACCTTCGCCTTACGCTCCGACCTCCAAGGAGAAGGTCACGCTGCCCAGGTAGCGGTCAGTGGGAGAATCGTTAATGATGCCCTTTCCGTTCAGTTTGCATTGTACTTGGATGTTAGCGCCTTGCTGCACGCCCGTAAAACGTACAGCCACGACTGGTGAAGAGTAGTTTACCTGAGAGACGAGAGACAGAAGATTAAGACCCGACGGGTGTTTTAAATTCGACTGCTGCTGCAGCAGTTCCCCGACAATCATGAAACTTTCACTCACATGTCTCAGCTTCCCGTAGTATGGATAATACTTGTTTTCAAAAATGCTTTTGGGAAAAAACTCAATTTTTCCCAAAACTTCTGGTGGTCCTTTCTGAGAGAGAAACTTAAAATAGTAAGTCTATTTTACAGACTTACTTATTTTTATACACTTTCAGTCATGAGTCAAAGAATCAAGAAAGAAAACTTTACCTTAACGCCACAGGTCACATTTATCGGTTTCCCCTGACCAGGTAAGTAACCGAGGATCTATTAAAGAAGAACAAGAGTAAGAGGGAAAATGTCTCACTCTGTAAGCACAAATGTAAAGATGCACCTTTGTGGATTCATCTGACAATGTCTTTACATTTAAAAGTGAAATATTCCATTTTTTTTAATATGCCAAAGCCTCATTTTCTCTCTTGTAGTTTTTCCATCCTGCATTGTTTGCATGCACACGCTATGTATCATCTTTGTCCCAAACTGAATTAGATAAGTAGATTTTTTTTTAAGGCACAGCTGATGGTGAGTTTCCTTTGCCCTCTTTGTGGGGCACCGACTGTTTCTGTTTGCAAGAAAAATCACAAATAAATATGTGAAAACATTCAAAAATGTTTCTAATTAGGCATGAAATAAGCACCCAATGACAAAAGGCTTTCTCTCTGTCTTACCTAGAATGACCACAAGATGTCACTCACACAGTAAATTGATAGTAAAATTGATTCACAGTACAGTAATCTGGATTTCTGATATTTTAAAATCCATCTTTTTTTACCCGGTTCATTCGAAGGAGGATGCATGGCATTCCCTGAGAATAGCCAAAGTTGGCGTCCTGCAGCCCTGAACACTGCCCCAACCAGGACCGTTTAAACTGACACGCTTTCCGCTCTGCAGCCTCGTCCAAGTCGTCCTGCATGAAGTATGTCTCCTTATCACAGGGAATATTCTTCCTCTGCTGAGCAGCATCGTTATACGCTGAAAGTACAGAGCAGAGAGAAAGGGGGAGGGAGAATGAGAGAGAGAGGAGGGCATAAATAAACCTTTGCAGTGCCCTGCCAGGCGCAGGCCTCTGATTAAGAAAGCCTGACAAAAGATGATTGTGAAAAAAAAAACACCCAGGACTGAATAGCAACCCTCTGCCCACAAAGAGGCTTCCCTTCCCAGCATGCCCTGCAAGGACCAAATAGAAAAAAGAGGGACAAAGGCAGTGAAGATGAGGATTAACCCATTCCATGTCTCTTCATTTTAAACAAACTCAACAACCTTGTCAGACCTCCCAGCTTTGACCACCCCACCTCGATCGCATCACTCACGTCTTAGATATTCCTCCATAGACCTGGCGTACTTCCTCCAGGATTTGCGATCAGATGCGTTAAAAGCAATCTCATGGCCTTCTAGGTGCGGGGCCATCGTCATACCTGCCAGTGGAGACGCAGAGACAGTCAACTGTGCTGAGATTCAGGGAGAAGCAACAGACAGAAGGACAGCTAGAGGGACAGAGAACAGAGGAGGTGGTTTGAGTTTGGAGTTATAGTTACCTGGTGGCATCACTCTATCGTTGAAGGTGGGGTGGTAGGGACTAATAGACCACATGAGGCAAAACAAACAGCCGCCAAACATGGCTGCAAGAAACAAATAAAGTGCAGCATAGAAGAGTAGGATGAGGCCTGAATGGTGAGAGTGAAGAAAAAAATAAAAAGAGGCATTAGGGAGTACTTGCACAAATGTGGATTACATAACAGACAACACAGCTCCTGATAAATTACATCTGATCTGAGTGAAGGGGAATAACGAACCATGAACAATTCCCACTTTGCTCGGGCAAACCATTTGGTCTGTCTGGACTCCAGCTACTGTCCTTGATCAGGACGGTCACTAATTTGTTTAGGAATAAAAAAAGCACTGTGGTCCCCTCGTGTCTGCATTTGCGAATAACTCCACTGGCTTTGGTATGAAACCCATACTTAGCTAAAGCACGGACCTTGTGCCAAAGAAATCCTGAGAAATAGCACTGGTCTGCAATTTTCAATTAACAGTCCATTAGCTACTAATCAAGCTAAACGTGTCCTAAATAAAATGGCTTTTGCTGTGTGGGCAATTTCACAGGGGACTAGCTGTAGCCAGCGTTGCATCCCCTGAGCCACAAAGGCCTTTCTGTTTGAGCTCAGTGAGAATTCTCCCAGCTGTCCTTTCACTCAGGAACACAGTGAACCTCCGGTTGCCATCGTAGTGAAGGTCCTTTTGCAGCCATAGAGGCACAGCCAGCTCCAAGGAACCCCAATCACCCCACTCTGGTATTGTGTCCCCTCTTACACACTCGTCTCACAGGACACGCAGCACAGACTTCAACTCGGGGTCTTTCTTCAGCAGACACATGGGCCCCACTCTTCCACAAGTGTGCACACACACTGGTTATGTGGCCCGGGGATCCGGCATTGCAGCTTATGCAAGTAACACACACTTTCCTTAGAAGTTCTTTCTGCACACAGTTGGATCATGTTTGCCATTGCGTGAAAAGAGAGGGGGCTCAACAGCATCACATAGCAACTACCCTGGTTATACCAAGAGGTTGCTCCATCACCAGTGACTCAACAAACTCGTCCAGTGTGTCGCTCATGCCAAAAAAGTTCTCCAGCGCCCAAAGCTCGATTTGGCAGTTAGATTTACAGGGCGGGGGAAAAGAACATGAACACCTCTACGTGTTTTACTGCAACTGAGAGGCCACAAGCATGTTAAGTTCAGCAATGAGGTCGCCAAGGCTTTGGGAAAGAGGCTGTGGAGAGCATGGTAAGATGTAGAGGAATGTGTTTCCTGGCCAATGTGAGGCCTTGAACAGTGCGTCCCGCTGGGGAATCGTCCCCAGGCAGTCTGTTTTTGTCGGGACACTCTGAATCATCCATGCACCTATGTAAACATTGAGCATGAGGACACACACACACACACACTCGCAGCACAGTGAGCTCAGTCACTGGACTGGAAAGACATTTCTCACCCTAAAACTATCGCTGAGTGCATCTTAAAAAACACACACACACTGAACCATCACATTTGCATGTTATTTAGGATGATTAACTGTGTTGCACTCAACATTAAAAGTGTTGTTATGGTCATATGCACTAAAAAATATATGATACAAAATGTCCCTTCCCCATAACCCAACAGCAGAGAATTTTTCTTTCTTCATCAACTCACTCCAGCTCTTCCCAGAGCGACCCATGAATTCGTTGGTCTCTGCATTCCACAGGTATGTCTTCAGGTCGTCTATTTTCTGGTGGAGCGTCCTCTTGGGAATCGGCCTGCGCTTCCATCTCTCAAAGTTGAGGTCTTCCTGCTCTAGAGGCTGATGCTCGGCCAGCTCCTCCTGCTCTTCCTCCAGCTCTTGGCCATGCTTGAGTATCACTTTGTGAGGCTGGTGGAAAGAAGAAGAGAAAAAGCCCTCACCACACATATTCTAAACTGCTGAGTTCTACAGTGAAACCTATTTGCTTTTCAAATTACTGCAGGAAAAAAATGGCATGCCTCCTGATCTGAGTATGACCGATAACATAAACTGCCAGACAGCGCTCTGCATATTAATGAACTGATGGTCCTGTCCTCCGTTTCTGCAAATTATAAACCCGCTGGTGACCTTGTGGCACTCGTTGGGAGAGCTGACCTCCTCTGAGTGGACCCTCCTGCTTGGAGCAGCAGCTGCAGACAGCAGAACTGGAGGGTCACTCTGACAGCCAGCTGTTACTGAGTCTCAGCATCCAGAGGCCAGGACACACAGATCCCAGAGGAGCCACGGGACACATCATTTGCGAGAGAGAGGCCTTTATAAGAATCTGCTGCTACGGGAGGATGGGAGCGGGGTTGATAACTTTGAGGTTCATCAAAAACGCTCATGAGCCAGAGGGAAAAAAAGAATAAAATAATCTCAGCACTCACAAGACTTCTAACAAGCTTCTCCTCAGCTCCTCCCTCTGTGGAACTGGGCTCCATATTCTTCGCAGAAAGAAAAGGTGCCAGTTAAACCAACCACAATCCACGGTGTCCATTAAATTACTTTTCAATTCAAAGCCAAGCTATCTGAAATACACAATCTGTGCTCTATCGATGAATGAAAAGTCGGACATACCTGAAGTTCTCTTTTCAATTAAAAAAACACGGATTAATAAGTCGAAAACCCTATTGGCCCCCAGAGGAAAAAAAATATTATTTGTCAAAAAGTTTTGGGGGATTTCATTAGAAAGTTTTAGGCGTGCAGGGGGAACCGGGTGTGGAGAGCTTCCTTCAACTAGGCGCGCATCATAGTGAATGAGCGCTGGCCGGAGAAAAGCTGGGGGTGGGATGCAAAGTGCTTTTTCTTTTTTGGGTCCCACAGACGTTTTGGCAGCGGCCTGGATCACAGCACTGCATGCTGTACACGCACACCATCAGCCATTGTCTGCTAAGCTGAAGCAAAGCGTGAATACAATATTTATAGCCTCTCCCAGCACAAGACACTCAATCAGCGCCTGGCTGCGTACTGTAAATGCGCAAAGATCTTCCAGCAATTAACTATTTTTCAATTCTTAGTTAAATATCTTTGACTCGGGTGTTTATCTAACTTAAATCACAAATCAAATCAAAGTAAATCAATCATTAGATACACTCCACGCACGTGTATGCGCACTAATCCAGCTGTCAGCACCCACAATTTCAACGGATTACCATAAACTAACCTCTGGTGAAGTAGTCCTCATCCCTGATCCCATTAGCACTCCGGTCACGTACCGTTCTGTTACCCCCATACTAAAGTGGAAGGGGGGAACGTCCCTAAGAAGTTCCCCTCCTCCTTTTACATGAAAAGAGAAATTGCGTCATGGAAAAAGCAATTCTTTGAGATATGCGCGGCAAATCGTGCGTGTGTGTTAGAGCTCGCGTGTTTTACAGTAAAAGTCAAATAAGGATGTTTGCAGAGAACTAAAAGTCACAAAAATATATTTGTCAGTAGTTCTCCTGTCAGTGCAGATTAATAACCTGAACATGTCCTTCAAAAGAAAAGCGAGCAGGGGTGCTTCCAGGATTTTTCTGGGCAGCCGGGGCCCATAAAATCAGAATATTCCATCAGAAATGAAAATTGTTTGGAGAACACTGGACATTTTTTTACATTAATTTGTATTGAGTAACTATTTTAAAAAATACTCCAATGTCACTTATGGGGGACATTCACATTTCATGCTCAGGGTCTGTGCACAGGCAGTGTATAAGGCTGTTTTTCATTTCGTTTCTTTGTTTGTGTGTGTAAATTACAGTTGTCCTGAGACAAAGTGTAAACACAATTGTTGGAAAAAGTAGCTCTCAAATAACATTTAAAATACAAAATAGCTCCTGAGAACCCCCCAAAATGCCCTTTTTCTCTTGTCCCAACTGATAACCAGATTTCATGTCAAATAGAAGAAGTTATAAATCCACTTTTTTTGTTTTAATTATATTAACACATATTTCTTATAATTGTTAAACCAGTGTATCTAAGTGTTTGTGAATGCATCATTAACCGTGCTCCTCTAGCCCTTCCATCAAAGTTCGATTATAGCCCATTTTTCAGGATCAGCTGGTCTTTTGGGGGTTTCATCTTTGGATACAGGTATGTAGAAATTCGTTTTAATGTGTTGAGACTTACATTGAGAGTTGTTATAGTCTGATCGTGATGTCTGTGGATCTGGTGCATTTCACTTGGTATGTGTTTGGCTGCCCAGTAGTCGTTGGTGAGTAATTGCAGTTTACTCCCCTGCTGCTGTTTGTTTAGGTTTTATTGTATTTTATTCTAGTTTTTAGGGTAATACATTGAAATATACAGTGGTTTCTAGTTCAAGTGAGTTGCCTGGTCTTTTCATTGTTGATTACTTTTTCTTTTTTAGTAAAGCAGAAGGTCTTTTTTGAGAAGCTGCGGGCACCTTTGGGGAGGTCCTCTCTCCTCATTTGTGAATAAAAGCACTGGGACGCAGGTGTAAGGGACACCGCTATGTTTGTCCAATTAGGACGTGGCAACTTATATCATGTGTTGCTTTAGCTGAGCTGCTATTTTTCCACTGTGTTTTAGAAATTTATTGAAAGAAACCAAGTCTGAGTGCTTTTGTGATAAATTGTAATTAAGGTCCACTTGAGTAGGGGAGACCGGGGATAGTTGTAACATTTTTGACATTTCTGTCTGTAAATTGGAGCTCTTTTAAGGTAGTGGATTCAAAATGTAATGCAAAGTATTTACATGTCTCTGCTATTAAATAGTGCAGCTATTTTCTCTGCAGCACAATTACCCATTGCATGGTGTGGCCTCAAACACAAAGAGTGAAATGTTACAATTAACCCCATAGTCTGGGTTAGTTGTAACATATCCTGGGGTGAAATGTAACACAATGAAATAAGGGTACTAACAAAACATTAACATGTAATCTTTGTTTATTCAACACATGAATGCACTTAGAGCCATTTATGTAGCTGTGTGTGTGTGTGTGTGTGTGTGTGTGTGTGTGTGTGTGTGTGTGTGTGTGTGTGTGTGTGTGTGTGTGTGTGTGTGTGACAGAATGCAGAAATCTAGCTTTTGAACATATTCCAACCCCCCAAAAAAGACAAATTCTGGAATTTTCTGCAACTGAATATTTCATTAATTTTGGTTGGTCTTCCTTGAGTTTGGCCTCATTGGCTCAGTGGGCATTATAACCTACAACTGTTGCACCAATTTTAAACATAACAATGAAGCTGAAAAAATGTAGTTGTTCACCAGCATCGCAATTGAATTACTTTTTATCACGGCTTACCTTGGTGTGGTTTGCAAAGTGCTTCAGAAAGATGAGGAAATCTGTTTCTTGCACCCATCCTGATTTATTTCCACAACCAGTACTTCCTACTGGTCCATCTCTGACACAGTGGTCTGCATAATGTATGTGTGGGAACACAAACAGTGGAGGAATTGTGTTGCCAATGGCATTAACCGCATATACAAATGTGACCAGTGAATCTCTCTCTGCTGATGTCGTTGCCCCAACTTGTTTAATATAAGTTAAAGTAATAGTGTGGTAACATCTGCATTATTGTTACAACTAACCCAGACTGTTGCTGTTACAACTGACCCAGACTCCTGTAGCCATGAACTAGCTAACATTACAGCCAACAGCTAAAACACTAGCTCTAAAGACCTACACAGAATATATCCCCATAGACATACAAATAACATAATTTAAGTTTGATGAGTTTAACTGCAAAGCAGATAATGCTATTACACATTGAAATAAAGTAGAAAAACTTACTTTTTGGCATACAAATTACTTTTTTTCATGTTAAATTGTCTGTGTTTGACAAAATGTGCTGATTTTTCACATGTACAGGATGAGTCACATCATTTGAAACTTAGCCCTGATTGGAGAAATTGGCAGTGTTACAACTGACCCACGTTACAACTATCCCCGGTCTCCCCTACATTTCCAGGGATGGAATTCCCAGGTGGCTTTTTTTAAGTTGGTCTTTCTTCCAGTCCTCTTTCAGCTGTTCCTCCAACCCGCCACACTAGAAGAAAAACAGCTCCTGTTCATGATACTTCTGAGATTTCCTCACATTTCGACATGCACTCAAAAGCATCCCTGTGAATAAATGATTAACAGTTTCCCAGAACGTCTCGCAGTTCTTGAACGCAACGCTGTAGTTGTGACGGTTGGTGGCGCTCGCTGCGCGTCCTGAGGCTCACTAAACACCAAGGTGATACTTTTTTATGAGCTTCTCTAGAAGTGTGAATTTAAATCTTCGTAATATCGAACAAAATTAAAAAAAAAGATTTAAAACCCTTTTAAACTCTATTTGTCACAAAACAGGCGCTCAGTAGGATGTTTAATCCCTGTTTTCGGTGATAATTCACTGTCTAAGGAGCTTGGAAAGAAAAGCGTCTGGACTTCTTTGAGTTGCTTGAAGACGTTTCACCTTCATCCGAGAAGCTTCTTCGTTAATTCACTCTCATACCTCCTATTTATTTGTAATTTCTATTAAATCAACATCATTTTTGAAACTTCAGTCTTAATCTGAAAGGTTCAATTAGACAGATTTTTAATTTAAGTTGCCCTGAGGCTTGTAGTTGCTCCTCTTGATATCAGTTTATATATTTCAGCAAATAAACTTGCAGCAGCTGGTAAGCAAAACAGATCCACGCTAACCGGTTTGCGAGTGTAACGCAAAGTAACGAATATTACTATTTAAATAGTAACGGCTTCCAGAGTAGCTGCTTTTCGGTGTGTGTGTGTGTGTGTGTGTGTGTGTGTGTGTGTGTGACATGCGCACATACAACCAGCAGCAGCACCAGCGACCTGCTGTCCGACACCGACACGGCGAGAGGACGGACGCCGAGCGAGGTCTCCGCAGCCGCGGGGATGTAAATGAGACGGGCCCGGGCTTCAGCGGGACGGAGGACAGCTCGTCAGAGAATGCCCCAGCTCGTCCACCGTTAGCCCTCAGATTTACATCACCCAGCACTGAGTCGTGATTGTTTAATATTTATATATATATATTTATTTATTTTATTTGGAAGAGGATTGGACTTCGGTAAAACGTCCCCCAGCCAGCATGCCCCCTCCTCAGAGCCTCCAATCCAGCGGTCTGACCCTCTCAGAGACGAGCATTGGTAGGTGTGCGAGCAAGGTCAGCGGCGTGTCTGCAGCAGGTTTTTCTGTCAATTAAAACCCGTTAAACTGACTTACACTGCGGGGATTTTCTCATGCGTCTTTTACCTCTTCCGTAACACCCAGGTGAGCCTTAAAATGCTCATCCACACCTGTTATTTACATCGGATGAGCGAAATGAAATCGTTTTATGATTTTCTCTCATGTCTTTTAAAAGCAGCCTGAAACACTCGTTGCATCACCGGGCAGACTATTTTTTCCTCTCCCAGGCCGCAGCGCGTCACTGCAGGTGCGGCGGCGCTGAGTAACCAGAGCAGCCTGGAGGTTTGGCTCCGATGGCTGCTGGCTGCCGCACACCCATTTCTTCTTCGTGTTCTTCTTCTCTCTTTCTTTGTCAGCTGGATGCCGGGCAGCTACCATGAAAAATAAATCGATTAAACGATCAAATACCGCGAGAAAAAAAGTCGCGGGAATATATTTGGCAATGCGGGTAATTCTCATCAGATGGCAGCACATCGTTGATTATTCAAACAACAGAAGTTTGCCTTGGAGTTTGTTTGTTTGGTTTGTTTGTTTTTTGAAATCCCTGTAAGGCATGTTGGGCAGGGGCGTTTCTAGGACATTGTTTCATAAAGTGGCACCTTACTCAAAGACATTTGATCAGAAATAAATAGAAAGTGAAGAGTTTA